CCTTGCGAAAAGCCTTTTTCCTCCAAACCAATATGATCTCTGTAACAACCACCAGTAATTAAATTTAAATTTTCATAACAGAAGTAGTAGATGTACGAGACGACCCTGAACATCATTTATAGTTCCTCCGCACAGAAGCGCATCCTGAAATTCAGTCACTAATACAATGTAAATATATCAGAAGAGAGGAGAAATTGTCGTGGAAGTCTCGCGAAAAGCCAGCAAAGGCAAAATACTTGCTGGCAAAATACATGCTCAGCACCTTAGACACTGAGGATAGGTATAAATGCAAGTGGATACACATACAGATATAAATGCTCGAGCTGGAGAGTGAAGTACCAGGGGCAGTATCTAATGGAAAAAAACTTGTTGATTGTAAGGAGAGGTTTGGTTTCCTCCTAGTCCATAACCATTTGCAAAAAACAGCTCTCTATTGGAGGAAGACAGGTTATCACTCCTAAGCTGTATGCCCTTCAATTGACGCAGAATTATAGTCTTCTAGCGCAAATTTAAGTCTAAACCTCCTTCATATTCCCATTTCACTCGGGGACAGCAAGAATCGCCAATAGCAAAGCTGTCTCGATGGCTTCCTCTTTCGAAGTTTGGAAGCTGTCAGCGACTTTGTTTCTCTGGCATGAGCCAGTACCAATTTAAATCCAGTACCAGTATCGCCGAATCGAAGCAGCAAACTGCACGGGTCGAATTTTTCCCCTGATCAAATTCAGGGATTGACTACAGTTCGAGTACAAAGTAATTTGTCGTTAAATCAAATTAATTAACAGATTCTTTGAACCTGATCTGCATACATTCCATTAGTACCCAGTGCGCGTATGACGTATGCCCCCCATGAAATTCAAAAGAATCAGCTATGGACGAAAAAAATTTCGTCTGTGCATTTTATTTCCTTAACTACTACAGCCTTTTCCCCCGGATTTCTCTATGCTTGCGGCAAAGGGAAAAAATACAGACGGCTTATTTCATTTGGCTACTTTTGCATTGGGCATAAAGCTCTGCTATCTTGACGAACTGCTTGTTAACAAATTAAAATTTTAATTAAACATACGGAATTGTTCGTCAGCTAATCGGAACTTAAATTAATCATTCGGGACAGGATTAAGTCCAGAATAATTACACGAAATGAATTTATAATTAAATAG